AATCCTAATACGACAGCATAACAAATGAGCTTGGGCCTTTATCAGAGGCACTAAAGGTCCATATTCTACTACCCACCGGTAAATCCTATAAATAAGAGGGAAAACCTAAAGGTACGTTACGCTCTCTCTTACTGTTATGTTGTCACTGTACGTACACACACACTCATTGGCAAAGCTGTTATTCATTCGTTGTGCACAGTGATCTGCTAGATCAAGGGTATCTCCTTCATAGATACCTTAGAGAGGGAACTAGATCCAAGATCAACATACTAGTCCATTGGACTAGACATTTCTGTATCCAAGACAGAACAACTTTTATTTTTGTTATTATAAAAAAGTTATGATAAATTTTTTTATAAATATATATTTAACTATATTTTTATAAAAGTATGTCAACTATCAAGTATACCCATTGGTGGACCTATGTTATTGCACATGATTGCAAGCGCAGACGGTAATAACCTCAGAAAAGTTTGGAATTCTCAAGGACCAACTATCGAGTTTAAGTGAGTTTTTTGATTTTATGTTGAAACCACCCAAAATCTTGATTGCTTCCGAAATCACCTCGAACATAGTGCCAACATGTCTGGCATCATATGAGGCAAAGTCAAGTTTGGCTTCAAACTTTTGTTGACAAAACTATCCTTTTAGCTTAATAATATATTACTAGTCTAATAATATTCAAATAAGTAGAATTCAATTTTTTTTAATGAGCTCACAAATATTCCTATTTTTTAAGTGATGATTGGTTTAATGCATACATGCTAAATTATGTTGAACGTGATATATTTGATAAGATTAATGATAAATATATAGGGAAAAATATTTCCGCAGTTAATGCAGAGAAGTTATCTGCATTTATTTCCAAAACGACGTCGTTTTGGTATTGAAATCTTAAAAAATTATTGTTGTAAAAAAAAAAAAAATTATAAATATAAAGACTATTATAACCCTCAAATAAATTAAAATTACAAAAACATCATGATTTCCGTCCCAAAACGATGTCGTATTGGCTTACTGCAGATAAATTATCTACAGTAACTGTAGAAAAAGTGAACCCAAATATATAATATAATATTTTCAAGCAATAAAGAATCGAAAAATGTTTTTGTGATCGTTCTATTGTAATAGCCTATGATGCATCGACACCGACACGTGACACGAGATACGACACGTCACGACACTCCGACACGTTAATTCTAAAAAATGTTAAATTTCGACACGTTAGGACACATTTTAATATTGTATAATCTTTTTAATTTGTGTAGTGTATATTATATTTAATACTCAATAATTTAACAAAAAAATAAAGTTAAACTTATAATAACATTAATTTTGCAAAGAAACATAATATATCCTTAATGTTTATATTAAACTCAATAAAGTAGTAATCGTAATCCAACGAATCTAATAGTTAGAACTCGAAATGCAACACAATTTAACATTTGAACCTTTTTTTGAGTCTTTGCAACGAGTATTGGAGTTTCGGAAAGTGTCGGACATGACTCGTCAGAGATTTTGAAATGTCGATGTTTCGTAGGTAATAACTTAGTTGACTCTTGATCACTACTTTTTTTATGTTAAGCTGAAAATTTTTTTTATTTATATTCTTTTATTTTTTAATACATTTAAAATTTTATTAAAAAAAAATCAAGGACGCTGTCTCATAACTCCGCCATTAAATATGCAAGCATTTTTGGGTCTGCCGGTGAATATACCATAAGGTCCATAACGATTATAACTTATTATTGTTATTTGGTACAAGAGATAAAGAAAACGAAAATCAAACAACGCTAAGAAAGGCCAGACACACATTCATCACGTACTTTCTTGGAGAATGTTATCCACGTGAGTAAATAAAAAAAGTTTGGGTCATGTGATAATGCATAATAAAATATTTAAATATTTATAATTTAGCTTTTATTATCTTTTTATAAATATTTCATAATTAAAAACGCTATTCATAAATTTTTTGTTCAATATCTTATTACGCAATCTAAGTTTTTAAATTTCCGTATATGAAAATAATTTAAATTTGGATATTGATTTATTGTATAATTTAGAACTAAATTTTTTTAATAACTCTTTGAAAATAATATAGTTTTAGATTATTTTTAATTTTTAACTTAAAGTTATACCTAACTATTGAAAATTCATATAAATCTTTGAATCACAATATATTATTTATCAGGATAGGATATTATACTTAGAGCTGTCAAAACGGACTATAGTCTACGGACAAGCCCTTCCATCCTAGTTTTCAGTTTTTTTTTTTTTCAACTCAGATATGGTAGGATTATTTTTTATCCTAACCCTAATAACCCTCATTTCTTTTGGGTTAGGGTTGAGTTAATCGTGAGCTAATCTGTTTTGTTTATCTAAACCCTAAATCTATAAATATTTATGTTTAAATTTTTCATGCCCACTCTCCTTATTCTTTATCAATATCATTATATTATAATCTTAAGAGGAGAGAGAAATAATAAATGTTAGTTTAGATTCTGATTTAGTAATGTAATGATAAATAAGTAGAGTATATATATAAAACAAAAGTAGGTATAATATTATATCCCTTATTTATTTATTATTAATGTCATCTAAATCTATTTTTTCTACTTTTGATAAATAAATATTTACTTTTATACTGCAGGATATATGTTCGCTTCAAAATCAACACAGTCATTTCTTTGCAACATGATTTTTTTTATAGAGAAATTTTAATTTATTCATTGTTTTGCGATAAGTCGATTTGGAGTGCATTTCAAGATTAAAATTTTAAATCTATTCCAAAAGATAATATAAAAAAGATCCAACACATTAAATCTATTCAATATAAATCTATACCCTTGACGCCATAGAGGCATACAGTAAGCAATAAACGATGGAAGAGGAGAACCAACTAAAAAAGCGTGGCCATAATTTAATGCCAAACCTACATAAAGCACTAGAAACAAAGTCACGCCCAAAATGTGTGGCCGGTGCGCTAACAAGTATCAAGCCTAAAAGCCCTTCATAAAATAGCTTTTCACGCAAGAAATTTATATTGAATTTAATTTGGTTATATTATTAGAGGGTGATTATTCTTATAATATCTTTTCTCTTCGTACAATTATTTTTATTGTTATTTCATTAAAATCAAATCAACGGTTCTTATTTAATATTATTTTATAATTATTAATTTAATTTTAATCTAATGTAATAAAAGTGTTATAAGAGATGGTAAGAAAAAGATATTATAAATATAACATCTCCCATATTATTAATATTTTTTTTAAGTTTTGCAATCAATTATCATTCATACATATAAGTTTAAAATTTTATGTAATTATTAACATATTAAAATTTAATAAATAAGTTATAAATATAAAACTACATGGTAATATAAAAATAATGGTTCTAGGTGAAAAACATAGACCCAATATCTAACCATCGAATCACTTATCTAATATTTAATATTTTAGGGCCATGCCTCAGCACTTGACATGTTGACCGGAGTGTTTGGTACATGAGAAATTTTTATTTGTCTGAAAATCTCGATTTTCAAAAATATAATCTTTACATTAAGTTTACGATAATATCTGAAAATTTAAAATTTAAAAAAATTCAATCTTCCGAAAATCCGAGAAAAATCCGTGAACCAAACGACCCCGGGTATGTGCTCGTGTTTTATTGACTCAGATACTTGATCTGGATTTGTATTATAATAAGATAAGACCCAAATTAAAAGCTTTTATCATCAAGAAAGATCATAGTCAACAAAGGTGCAATCTTATCTCTATCACCAAGTCTATCTCATCAAAACCCCAATATTAAATGGTAATATTACTTTGACAGCAAGACATGCAAAACTTATCTCAGCCACCTACAGTAACTAATTAGAAGACTTGCCGCCTCACCACTTGCAAGATGGTCATCTCCCAAGCTGGTCATCTTTCCACTATAAATGTATATGTGTTAACACTAAGGTACACATCTTCTTCTACATAATAAAACCTACTTGAACCAGATTTAACTTGAGCGTTGGAGTGTCTTGCAGGTACACCCCCACCTTGTTTCATTGAAGACTCATGTGTTAAAGCTGCTCCAAATTGAAGATGCTCTGACTTAAGGCAGTTCCAGACTATTTGTGTAAAAGAAGATCACATGATCAACCTAGTTGTAAAACCGGTTCTGATCACCTTGTATTAGAGATGATTACTTGCCTTTGAGTGTATAGGTTTCAATATCATTCACTGACATTTCAAAAAATGTAATACATTTTATTCAACACTTTTTGATATTCTTCGACATTTTAATTTTTCTTACACTCCAATAGGTATTGTAGACACTTAAAAAAATAATTAAAGATTGCATTGCATTACATTTTTTGTTCTAATTATTGCATTCGTTGTATTACGATTATCATTTTATTTAGTTTAATATAAATATTTGGAATATCTTATATTTCTTTGCAAAGTTGATGGATATTATAAGTTGAACTTCACTTTTTTTGTTAGATATAGTATACACTCCATAAATCAAAATTATTATTTAATATCAAAATGTGTCTTAATGTGTCAAAATTAAATATTTTTTAGAATTAACGTGTCAGAGTATCCTATTGTATTGTGTCACGTGTTGAAGTTCCATCACAAAAAAAAACTTAGGGTTCCATCATACAAACTCGATTAATTGTGTTATGATTTTTTTTATCTTAAAACTATTTTATAGATTTGTTAATGAAATAGGTGTTTTCATATATAAAAATAAAATTAAATAGGTGTTTTTTATTTTTTTTTGTGTTTTAAAAGTGAAAGATTAAAACACAAAATAAAAATAACTCAAATATATTCTCTAAGTTTGATTCTAAAAATAAAAAATAGTTGCAATTTTTAAAATCATTTTTACAAAACAAAGTTTATCAAATAGGTTTTTTAATATTTTGTTATGAAATTAAAAAACTATTTTTCAAATCAGTACTAGTACTACCGCTAAACCACATTGACACATGACCACTGCACAGTTAGCACCACAACCACCACTCACTCATAAACCTCTCTCTACTTTCTCTCTCTAAAAGGGAAGAGAAGAGAGAAAGAGAGACGGTTCCGCCATGGACGCGGCATCGCAGCTTGTCAACTTCAGAATCGATCATTTCCGTCGATCCTCTCCTTCCCACCGCCACAAGCTCCTTCCGCTTCGGCGACGGTCCAATCGTGTTTTTGCTGTCGCCGCTGAACCCAAACCTGCTCCAGCGAACACTGTCAACGGTTCATCATCGAGGTCCCCGTCTAATGGAACCGTCAACGGCGTCTCCACGGTAACTCTTCTGATCCTCATTTTGTCGAATTGTTTTTCACATCTTTGTTGTCCGTGGATTTCGATTGTTTCTTGTTTAACTGATGGAAATGTAATCTGACAGAGAATTGGAGATGTTTCGAAGGAGATTAAGAGGGTGAGGGCGCAAATGGAAGAGGACGAACAGTTGGCGACGCTCATGAGAGGTCTTCGGGGGCAGAATTTGAGTGATTCATTATTTGCTGAGGACGATGTTCAGCTACGTCTTGTTGAGGTGTCGAATTGAATTAATACTAACCTGAATAAATATTCTGATATTTTATTTTATTTTATTTTATTTTTTCGACGTTACTGTGAATTTCATATTATATTTCGTGTGGCTTCTATTTATGATGCATGAAGAATATTCATTAGCGTCAACTTTTTTTTTTTTTTTTTTTTTTGAAGTATCTTTTTTAGTGTGGTTGTTGATTTTCAGTATGAAAATAACTAAATAAGGATTGTAATGGAATTTGGTATTTTGCACCTGTGTAGGTAGATGAAAGTAGTGAGTTTTTGCCTTTGGTGTATGATCCTGCCAGCATTTCTGCATATTGGGGAAAACGTCCACGCGCTGTAGCAACACGCATTGTGCAGTTATTATCTGTTGCTGGAGGTTTTCTTTCGCGCATTGCCTGGGATGTGATTAACAAGAAGGTTAAGGAGGTAATTCTTCAATGTCCCGAAAGATTAAGCAGCTTAACTGCATTCTTGATGTGGTTGTTGTTGTTATTGGTCCCCCCTGGTTTTCTGTTTCTTATCAAGCATACTTCGGAATTAGTTTTCATTTTTTGAAAGAGAAGTTTTTTTTTTTTTTTTTTGATAACAGAAAGAGAAGTTTTATTTGTAAGAAATCCTCCAAAACAGATGATCTAGGAACAAGAAACAAAAAAAAAAGGAAAAGAAAAAATAGGTATATGTATACAAGAATTTTTCTAGTTTTCAAATAGGTATAATCTCTAATAAATGTAGTATATTCTGTATCGATAAATATATTATATTAAAACATAATTAGTAAATTATGTAAGCATTATTGTAAATTTTTAGTTATCTATCTAAATAATAGATAAATAAATAAATAAATAGATAAGGCTGTATGCAGAGGTATTGTTATTGTATATATAAAGTGTTCTAGTTAGCTTATGGCTTGAGCTTGTCCTATGGAAAAATATATAAGGTTCTTATGGAATTAGTACAAGTTTCTTTATATTTCAAATTCATTGTTCAAAATGCAATTTTTGAGATTACAATGTCATTGTTCTTCTTTGCTCTTTCCATAACCAGAATGAAGTTGCTAGGGCTATTGAATTACGTGAAATTGTGACATCTCTGGGTCCAGCATACATAAAACTTGGGCAAGCATTGAGCATTCGACCTGATATACTGTCACCTGCAGCAATGACGGAGCTGCAGAAGCTTTGTGATAAAGTGAGCTAGTTGCACGGTCTCCCTTTTCTTGTATTCTCTCTTCTGCATATGCCATTGTTTCCATTTTGAAATTTCTTTATTCAATTCGAGCAGCATAAAAACAAAATATTTAATATTTCTCATTTCAGAAAATTAAAACATTGTTGGACTGGTTGCACATTTAATATTTATGTTCTGATTTCTGAAACAACTTACTGCATTTCTTTTTGTTACCTTATACATTAAAATTGCGTTCTGACGTACTGTAAATATTGAATATTATTAGCATTCGCACAATTACATTTTGATTTCTGATATTGCAAGTTATTAATTTTGCTGAGGTTCCTTTGTTCTTGATGGGGTTGGGGGGATTCCATAAAATGTGAAGGTTCCTTCATATCCAGATGATGTGGCTATGGCTCTAATTGAGGAGGAGCTTGGTCAGCCATGGCAAAAAGTCTATTCTGAATTATCATCTTCTCCCATTGCTGCTGGTAGCTCTCCAGACAACCAGTTAGATATATTACTTTCTTAGTAGAAAAGTATAGTCTCTCTTTGCTGTTTTTTTTAAGTTAATTAATAAACAGATATTTATTTTTCTGTGAAATCTATGCAGCATCTCTTGGACAGGTATATAAGGGCCGCCTAATGGAAAATGGAGATTTGGTGGCTGTTAAAGTGCAAAGACCTTTTGTTCTTGAAACAGTTACAATTGATTTATTCGTTATTAGGAACCTGGGTTTGGCTCTTCGAAAGTTTCCTCAGGCAAGTTAAATTCGTGTGAGGAGAGACTTGAAGTCATATCATTGTATTTAATTAATATGAACTTATGGCAGTAACATTGGTGATCCAAAATTAATTACTCATGATAAATGTCCTCCTCTCAACAAACTACATTTTACCTTTCATTTTTTAGGTCTCCATAGATGTGGTTGGGTTGGTTGATGAGTGGGCTGCCCGATTTTTTGAGGAGTTAGACTATGTGAATGAAGGTGAAAATGGAAATCGTTTTGCTGAAATGATGAGGAAAGACCTACCGCAGGTGAGTCTGATCTTTTTTGATTACTTATCTTTTTTTACCACCTTTTAATCACATATTAAGCATGTGTGGTTTTTCCACAATCTGGGTTTGGTTTTATTAAACTTCAATATATGGTAAATCAGATGTTGATAGGAGAGGCAACAATTCTCTTTGCTAGGCTTGCAAGTTACGACAAAAATCCTAGCTCACTGGATCATCTTACTTAATATAAACTGCAGTAGTCCAAAGGAAATTTTTTATAATTCCATGAAATTCTGATGCAACTTCTACTAAAGCAAGAGGAAGAATAGAGATATGTAATTTAGATGGATGACCTTTTTTTTTAGCGTCAGATGGCTGACCTTTAATAATGCGAGTTAATGGCAGAATAAAAAAGACCCTTCTGACAATCCAAATTTTTATTAACTTTCTTGCACTAGGGAGAAAACTAGAAGTCAGTTGTCTTTTAGAATGGGACTTGAGAAGGGAAGAAGTTTATTCAAAATCTTAACTTCCCAATTGTTGTGTGCAAATAACAACAATAACTCATGCAAGTGCACTTGTCATCAACAAGTAATATATGACGAGTACGAGTATCATCCCACAGAGAAAATTAACAAGGATGCGCAATGTAAAAAGTTAAACTAGTGGTTGCTTGTATAATTAAGTAAAAGCAATTCATATATATGGTTTGGTGAAAGGATGAATATGTAAAGCAGTAATCTAGTCAAAACAAACACTGAGTAATAAGATTTGATTAAAGAGACAGAGAATGAAAGGATTGGAATTTGGATGTCAATTTCCCCATTACTTCTACTATCAACAGTAGTCAATCAGCTAACGAGAACACTAGTTTTATACAAGATTTTTCTGACAATGCTGTATAGTAATATTTTTTTTTTTTTGAAAAACAGTATAATCATATTTCGATCTCAGTATATCCCTATGTGCAATGTAAAATCTGAGATTAAGATAACATAAGTTCCAAAGGGTTGTGTGAGGTAAATCCATCCCTGAAATTTACTAAATTGATTAAGTTCAACATAACCCAATCAACTCACACTCAATGTTAACATCAACAACATCTTTATCCCAAATTAGTTGGGGTCTGTGGTAGATGAACCCGAATGAAATGTATGAAAACTTTGAGAAAAAGATAAAAATAAAATTTAAGTATATATATATAAAGCAGTAGACAATTAAATATAAATAAATTAAAATAAAATAAAAATAAAGATATTTAGGAGGACAAAAAAGAATAAGAAAGCAGGAAATAAAAAATAAATAAATTAAATATAAGGAAAAAAGAAAAAAGAAAAACACATAAATAAAATAATAAGAGAAAAAGATTGAAAAGAAGAAAGAAATAAAAGAAAAGAAGGAAAAAAAGAAAGAAAGGGATATAAAGAGGAAAATGATTTGAAAGAGACAATCTGGAACATAGGAATAAAAACAGGTCTAACCCTCTACCATTCTTATAGCTTTTCTCCAATCCGTCCTAAGACACACCGTCTGCCAATCTATATCCTACTCTATTAAGTCTTGTTTTATTACCTTTCCCCAAGTAAGTTTTGGTCTACCTCTACCTCTCTCTGTATCAAGCTCTTGATAACAAACTTTTGTTCTTACGGGAGCATCCAAGGACCTTCTCAATACGTGTTCAGACCACCTCAATCTATGTTCTTTCATCTTTTTAGCCATCAGTACTACTTATACCTTTCTTCGAATATCTTTATTTCTTATCTTATCTATCCTCGTATAACTACACATCCACCTTAACATCCTCATTTCCGCTACTCTCATTTTATGCTCATGTTGCCTATGTGTTGGCCAACATTCAACTCCATACAATATTGCAGGCCTTACTGTTGTTCTATAGAATTTTTCTTTTAGCCTAAAGGGGACTTTGCAATCACACAAGAACCCAAATGCACCACGCCATTTCATCCACCATGCTCTGATTCTATGATTTACTGCCTCGTCAATCTCTCCATTTTTTTGCAAAATTGATCCCATATATCTAAAAGCATCTTTCTTGAGTATTTGTTGTCCTAGTAGATGCACAAAATCTTGATCTCTATCTCTTGCCAGAGAAAACTCACACTTCATATATTCAGTCTTGCTCCGGCGTAATGAATATCATTTAGACTCCAACGTGCTTCTCCATAATTCTAATTTTCTATTACCACCAGCCTTGGTCTCATCAATAAGCATAATATCATCTGCAAAAAGCATACACCATGACACTTCTTTTTGAATATCTTTTGTTAGTTCATCCATAACTAAGGCAAAGAGATAAGGACTTAGTGCAGAACTTTGGTGCACACCTACTGTGGTAGGAAAATAACTTGATGTTCCATTACAAGCTTTCACACATGTAATAGCACCATCATACATATCCTTCATTGCATCTACATACTTTAATGACACTTTTTTCTTCTCAAGAAGCCATCATAAAAATTTTCTTGGAACTCTATCGTATGTCTTCTCAAGATCTATAAACACCATATGTAAGTCTTTCTTCTTTTCTCGATATCTTTCTATTAATTGTCGCATCAAGAAAATGGCTTCCATAGCATAAATCATTGTTTTGATTACTTTATAGCAAATCAAAACCACATAAATTTGCTCATAAATGAGCAGTGAATAAACAAAGCCTTGCAAGAAATACAATATTAAGTAAACTGATTGAAATTGTTTGCAAAAGTCAAGCATTCAAGGTCCATGTTACAACAATGTGTACTTTATCCACCCTAATGGATTATATTGCTTTTTATGACTGGCTTCATATCTACTAATGAACTAGGCACTGGTTGTAGATGCCTAATGACAATATGATCAGACTGAGAATATTAGGCTAGATTTTCTGGCATGAAGTTACAAATCTATTGCAACTAATAGATGTTTAGCTTATAAATTCTTGTTTATATGTTACATCTTTTCATCAAAATCTACAAATAGTGTCTGATGACATTTGAAGAATTAAGTTAATTAAAGTTTGTGGGGATAACATGCTTGTCAAAACTTCATTATCTTTGAGAATTGTCAACAGCAGCATTAACATTACATTTATCCCACACTAGTTGGGGTTGGCGGTTAATGAATAAAAAATAAATAAATAAAATAAAAGGAAGAATAGATTGAAGGAAAAAAAAAAATATGAATAGTCACGAGGAGAATTTGCTTGCTTCTTCTGAAGGTTTTAGTTTCAGGTTGTCATACCAAGAACCTACAGTAAATATACATCAAGGAGGGTTCTTACTACAGAATGGATTGATGGAGAGAAGCTGTCACAGAGCACAGAAAGTGATGTTGGAGAGTTGGTTAATGTTGGAGTCATCTGCTATCTAAAACAGGTAGTTTTTGTGCTCTCGGTTGGCATCACTACATTAGAATCAATGAGCTTTCCGCTAACATTTCTTTTAAATGCAGTATTGCGTATCATCCATCTTATGTATGGATTTTTTGTCTGAAAATTTTGTCTTCCAAATGTGTATTGTATTTTATTGTGGTCATTAGATGTTTGCCAGACAGTATTGTCTTCCAAGAAAATATTGATATATAACAAATAAATTCTGACTGAACTATTTTTTTATTAATTTATTTTCATTTTATTTCAGCTGCTTGATACTGGATTTTTTCATGCTGATCCACACCCAGGGAATTTAATCCGCACTCCTGATGGAAAACTTGCCATACTTGACTTTGGTAAATGTCAATTTTGTTTTAGTATGCAGTGAAATATTGAATGTTTGTAGATTGTTTTTTCCTCGTGATCAGGAGAGACATAAATATAACTTTTGTTTCTTTTTTTTTACAGTGTTTGGTTTATTGTTCTGAATCTGATAATATTTGTTGTCAAATGAAGTATTTTAGGGAAATATGATTAATTTCTGCATATTTCAATATAGAATTACAAAGAGGAACTTTTTAGGGTTAATTACTCTCCCCTCCTCTAGGAGATTAATATTTGATACACTTCAGTCCATTTTAATGTAAATGAGCCTCTCATGGATAGTTCACAACTCCCAGCGTCAACAGCAGCTAGTTTTGAATCTTTACTATTGACCTTAGGACTTTAGAAAGATTAAATGAAAATTTTGGATGAAGTTTTAAGCTGATACATTTCATCTTCTAAAGTCTCAAAGTTTGACTGCTGGTGTTCAAAATTACCCGGCTGTGACACTAAGAGTCAGAGAGAGAGAAAAAAAAAAAGCTCCTGGGAGGCTCGTATAGTTGTTCATCCCCATTAAGAGGGCCATTTACATAAAAATGGATTGAAGTATTTGCTTTGTCTTAGGAGAGGGGAGTGTAATTCATCCGTTTTTATAGCACCATACAATGAATGCAAAAAATATTTGCTTTGTCATTGTTAGACTGGTTGAACTGGTTAAACCAGTGGGCAGAAAAGATTTAGAATATCTGAAAAAATAAATTTATCTGAGATGAAGTCTTAAATATTCTTTGTATGAGATAAAGCATAATATATTCTTATTTATTGATAAAATATACGTTGAAATATAAATTAATTCTAATAATATATAAATGCATATATTTGTTGAGATATATAAAACCATTAATGTAGCCTCACCCAACAGTTTAAGCTTTTGGGTTGAATTGGTACTTTACATGGTATCAGAGCCTCGTGTCCCGAGTTCGATCCTCACTGCCCCCCACTTCTTTCTAGTTGAATTTCTTTCTTCGCACAGGTAGGTGGGCCTGTGCATTGTCCACCCTTCAAGCCTCAAGCCCAGTGGGCTCTCGTGTGAGGGGGCGTGTTGAGATATATAAAACCATTAATGTAGTCTCACTCAAGAGCTTAAGCTGTTGAGTTGAATTGGTTCTTTACAATATTTAAAGCCAGAAACTTTCAACCAAAAAAAAGAAGCTGAAAGCATTAGATGTTCAGTAAATAAAGTCTGATTTTTTGTTTTGATATTTTATAAAATTTAGAATATAATTTAAATGTGGGAATGGTGAGAATTATAATTGTATTTTTTTCACCATACTTCTCCAAATATAAAACAAAATTGCTCTCATTAGTTAATGCTGAAATTTAACTCATGTTGTGGTTCACCCAAAAGAATTATTTTTGTGGAAAATTTAATTTGCAGTTTTTCTTTTAACCCCTGCTTTTTTTCTTCTTATATATGAATATAGTAGCTATCCTGTAATTGGAATCATGTCAAAATATTTGCGTACCATTTGGCGTATCTTTAAACAATTAGACAAGTGTGGTATGATGTGCTGTTGTTCTACAGAACGGTCCTGTTGTCATGATCAAGTATATTGCTTTTTCCTTGATGCTACTCTTCTTTAAATACTTCTGTTCCAATATTCTAATCATTGTGGTAAATGATGGAAGTCTTTTTTTGCATTCAGGGCTTGTTACAAAATTGACTGATGATCAAAAGTATGGAATGATTGAAGCAATTGCACATCTCATCCATCGGGACTACCCAGCTATTGTGAAAGACTTTGTTAAACTTGATTTCATTCCAGATGGCGTCAATTTGGAGCCTCTCTTACCAGTTCTGGCCAAGGTTTTTGATCAGGCCTTAGAAGGTGGAGGGGCGAAAAACATCAATTTTCAGGAGCTGGCATCAGATTTGGCTCAAATTACCTTTGATTATCCTTTTAGGATACCTCCATACTTTGCCCTTATAATTAGGGCTATCGGGGTTCTGGAAGGGATAGCTTTAGTTGGAAATCCCGATTTTGCCATTGTTGATGAGGCCTATCCATATATTGCGCAGGTATAATAGTTTGTGGAATTTATTTTTTACCTGTTTTCATTATCAATCAATATATTGGCTTGTATTCTTTACTAGCAGGTACATGTCACTGTTTTCTATGTAATTCATAACTGCTTATTTGCTTGAAAAATGAAAATTGAGTTGTACTTGGAGCAGATAAGATTAGCCATTGGTTTCGATAATAATGAACAGAATACAAAACTGCATAAAAGGAAAAATCAGCAAGATTTTGTTGGGCTACATGGTTAGATTTTATTATGCAGTGCATAAAAATGAAGCCAACGGCATTTGGATTGGACAAAATTTCTGTTTAGTGCCTGGAAATAAAGGGGGGGACATTGTTTAAATTTGAATTGTTCCAGTTTTAGAGGAGGGTACACGAGGGAGGAATAACAAGTTTTGAATTTTGGACACAATTTCTCCCAGCCTTTCTGCTTTGTGGAATAAACCCTACTCTCCAGCGGATTCTTTTACAACCATCATTCTTGACAAGTTTTGAATTATTTTCAGTGACAAAAAAATGGATTTTGACAGTCTGATTAATAGCTTTGAACAATGAATTACTAGGGTTTTGCATTACCACACTGGTAACTGGCTTCTGCTATTACTCTATTTAGATTCTTCTAAGTAATCTAAGTTGATGTTATCATGTTCTCTGATAGAGGCTTCTGACGGATGAATCCCCTCGGCTAAGGAATGCTCTACGTTACACTATATATGGAAAATCTGGAGTTTTTGATGCTGAAAGATTTATTGATGTCATGCAAGCCTTCGAGAATTTTATTACTGCTGCCAGAAGTGGTGGTGGGGAGAATTTGAATGGGAGTATGGCTGATCTTGGGATCCTTACTAATCAGTCAGAATATCTCTTGCCTGGATTCCAGTCTGTTATGCCACAACCACTGAAGCCAGTGCAAACAAGGGCAGCTTTAGGGTTTTTGCTGTCTGATAGGGGGAATTTTTTCCGAGAATTTCTTCTTGACGAGGTACTTTCTAGAAGAACTGAAGAAGCTTTTATATATTGTTAATTCTCAGTGTTGTTAAATATAACTTGCTATCTTATTTACTTTGAATGTCTTTCTAGATGCAAAAAGGAATTCAGTTAATCAACCCTTTTCATGAAAGTACTAAGTTTCCCATCCTCCTCAACTTTTTCATATTATTGTTTGTTTAACTAGTCCTATGACAGATATAATAGTAGGAATCTGTTGAGTTTTTTTGATTTGACCTGTGACCATGTTTATCTAGTAACGATATATCCTAGTTGAGGCATATGCCTGCATCAAGAACTTGAGAGGCATATATTGAAGCCAATGGATGTTCCGTACTTACTCTAATTTAGTAATTGGTAAAAGTAAGATTGTCTCCCCTTTGACACTGGTGTGGTGATCATTTTGGGTGGTTCCAATCCAGACTGTTCTTGACTTTCTTACTACCCACATTTTTCAATTGAATTGAACTCAGCAACTACAGTGGCACAGTAATGAAGTTTTATACTTAATATGAAATGTATTTCTTAGTTATGGGTCAATAATGAGTTTTTTAACGTGATGGGGAGTAGTGTTATTATAACTTTCTCTTTGACTTTTTTGTGTCTGGTTACGTGAGGCATTTGAATTTTTAATTCATACGATTTTATATTGTTGAAAAGCTTAATGTGTAAAATAATGTACGAGTTCCTACAAATGTGTATATGCCTCAGTACTTATTAACATATCAATTTGAAATTTCATGAATAATCTGGTGATAAGTTGAGCTCAGGCTCTTTAATAGCTGCTTAAGTTATACTGGACAAAACTCCATCCCTCGCTTACACCACTGAAGTTCACCACAAAAAGGGAAAGAATTGAAAACAAGTGAGAATAGAAAATTTTAGGGATTATGGTTGTTCTTGATTATTAATAGGCTTTTTGACTCCCTTGGCAGCATGAGAACATGAACAAGATTAGCTAGCCCTTTATATACCAAATTACCAATCACTTTAGCAAGCTTTTTATGGTCTTCTAGTATGTAACACATTTGAGCTATGTAATGACTGAATGATGCTTCAGATCTGATGCCTGCCACAAAAATTGACCGCATATATTTTGAGGATAGGTTATTCTACTTATCCTTTTTTCATGCTTACCTTTCCTATCACACTTCAACACCATTAGATCAGAATCTCAACTAACTCTTATCATTTCTCTCTCTTTTTGAGATTTTGATCTAACGGGGTTGGAGAGTGGTAAGTAAGGTAGGCATGAAAAAAAGGTAGGTAAAATAATCTATCCTTTTATTTTGATTCTCAATTGGGGAACCTCTAATGTTGTATGGGATGCAGGTATGACTTGATAGTTTATTCACCATGGATAAAGTGATCCTTAAGGAGAGAAAAAAAGGGAGGGGGGCACTCTAGAATAGGGATTAGAGGTGGCAATACGGGTCAACCCGACACGACACGACACATTTTCGACCCGTACACTATTTGACACGACCCGTTTTGTAAACGGGTCACAAAACACAAACCCTGACACGACCCGTTGCGGGTCACGGGTCGACACGATACGACCCGCAAAATTTAAAATTTAAAAAAAAAGTGATATTTTTTGAAAAATAAATAAATTAAAAACAATAAAAAAAAAAAAAGATTAGCTTGTGTTTTTTGAGATTTTTAGTTCCTTCTATTCTTTTCTATACTAAACAATGACTATATATATCAATATATAAATGAATAAAAATAATAAAATAATAAAATATTTAATTAAAAAATAAAAAAATGACACTGTGCGGGTTGACACGCGAACCCGCGGGTTGACACGTGACCCGACACGAAAAAAAACGGGTCACATTTACACAACCCTGACACGACACGTCCTGACCCGCGGGTTGACACGACACGTGATTTGGCGGGTCGGGTCACGGGTCAACCCGCGGGTCAATACCTGTATTGCCACCCCTAATAGGGATGAACATGGGTCGACCCGAACCGGATTTTTTGAAGAACCAAATTGTTTTTTAAAATCGAACCGGTTCGATTTGATTTAAAACTGGTTCGAACCGGTTCGACCTGAACCGATTATGAACTGGTTTTGAACCAGTTTCGAATTAGAACCATTTTCGAACCAGTTCCGAACCGGTTGCAAGGACTGAATGTCATAGTATACAACCCTCTCTGCCACTTCCACACCTTTCCGTTGCCAAACCATCTCTGCCACTGTAAAGAACCTTGGGATACACCACCCCAAAAGCTAGCTCAAGGGGTGGGAGTGCCCAAAGCCTTATAAACTCCACATTAGTTGCTTATACAACCAATGTGGGACTATATATCTCAACACGCCCCCTCACACAAGAGCCCTTTGGGCTTGAAGCGTGGATTATGCACAGGCCCAATTTTTGGTTTACCTTTTGTGCTTTTTGTTTTTAATTCCACATTAAAGTGGGGGACGGTGAGGCTCTGATACCATGTAAAGAACCTTGGGATATGGTATCAGAGCAGGTTGGTCCTGAGAAAACTCGGCCACCACAACCACCGTCAAACCGGAAGCACAACGCCGGAAAACTCAACCTCCAACCATTATTAAGGTTATTTTCCCTTCCTACAAAGTCCCAAGAGCAAAGTAAGGCTACCAATCACTGTAGAAGGCAAAATCCCAGCTTTCCACCGCCGTCAGCCACCGTCAGCAGCCGTCGGAAAATTTTTCCGGCGACATTTCCGACCAAGATCCGCAACATTCGAAACAGAAGGAGCCGATCTACAAGTTTCAAGAAGGACCATCGGATTCTGCTGAGCCACGCGCCCCCACGCGCTAGAGAAAGGACGGAGCGTCCGCCCTACGCGTTACCACACGCAGCCATGTTGATTGAAAGTAAATTTCCATCCAGCAATGTTGCTCAACAAGGTATAGCGTTCCATGTTGATAATAGTAGTCGATGGATTCTTGATTCAGGGGCTTCAGATCATATGACAGGTAATGCAACCTTATTTTGTTCTTATACCCCTTACTATCAACAATCATGAATAAGAACAGCAGATGACAACTTCTCTACTATTGCTGGAAAAAGATCCATTAAACTTTCTGAACACATTACTTTGAACTCAGTCCTTCATGTTCCCTCTCTTACTTGTAACCTTATCTCTATCAGCAAACTTACGTCTGAGTTACATTGTGTTGCCAAGTTTTCTGTCAATGCTTGTGTTTTCCAGGAACAGGATTCGAGGCTGATGATTGGCAGTGCTAGAGAGGAAGAAGGACTTTATTATTTAGAAAAAGATTCTTGTGAAGGAAAAATTTTTGTGAACCACTCGGTATGTTTGTCTGATGATTGTAATGATGTTTTGTTGTGGCATCGTCGGTTAGGACACCCAAATTTCATTTATCTTCAGAAGTTGTTCCCAAGCTTATTTATCAATAAAAATCCCAGTTCTTTTTCTTGTGATATTTGTCAGCTTGTAAAACATTCTCGTGTTTCTTATCCTCCTAGAGTCCATCATGATTCTTCTCCATTTACCTTGATTCATAGTGATATATGGGGTCCAGCCCGTGAAAAAATTATCTCTGGTGCTCGTTGGTTTATAACTTTCATAGATGATCACTCTAGGGTATGTTGGGTATACCTTCTAAAGGATAAGTCTGACGCTGCATCCATTTTTAAAAACTTTCATGCTATGGTTCAAACTCATTTCCAGACCTCTATCCAAATTCTTCGAACTGACAATGGTACTGAATATTTTAATTCTGTTCTTGGAAACTATCTCAGCCAGCATGGTATTCTTCATCAAAGTTCTTGTCCTAACACCCCTCAACAAAATGGGGTGGCTGAAAGAAGAAATAGACATCTGCTTGAAGTTGCTCGAGCTCTAATGTTTACCATGCATGTCCTTAAATATTTGTGGGGGGAAGCTGTCTTGACTGCAGCATACCTCATCAATCGGATGCCTTCTCGTGTCCTAAATTTTCAATCTCCTGTATCTTGTCTTACCCACACCTTTCCTTCTTTCCGGGCTCATTCTTCCCTTCCTCCCAAGTTGTTTGGCTGTGTGGCTTTTGTACATGTTCCTCCCCATCAAAGGTCCAAGCTCGATCCTAAGTCCATTAAATGTGTCTTCGTAGGAATCCTCCTAACCAAAAGGGCTATAAGTGTTACTCATCTTCACTTCGTAAGGTCTTTGTTTCTATGGATGTCACATTTGATGAGAGACAATCTTTTTTTCCTTCGACTTCTCTTCAGGGGGAGTCTATTGGGGTTGATGAAGATAAGTCTTGGAAACCAAATGATTCTGTTGTTTTGCCTTTGCCGTTAGAGACAGGGGGAGTCATTATGCAAAAGACAGGGGGAGTTAATGTGTCAGATAGTGGAGATCCTCCCGGGAAATGGGGAAAGTTTTACAGCAGGCGAGAATCACCTCAGGAGCCTCTAGACTGCCAGGATTCTGACTCGAGTCTTAGTTCCAGCAACACTGATACAGCCAACCTAGATGTGCCTATTGTTCTCCGAAAAGGTACTAGATCTTGTACTGCTTATCCTATTTCTCATCATATCACATATGAAAAGTTGTCCCCAGGTTTTCGTGCTTTCATCACTATGTTAGACAGTACAAAAATACCAAAAAATATCCAAGAAGCACTTGATGATCCAAAATGGAGGAATGCAGTCTTTGAAGAAATGGATGCACTCAACAAAAATGGAACTTGGGAGTCTGTAGCATTACCCAGAGGAAAGAAAACAGTAGGTTGCAAGTGGGTGTGTTCACAATAAAGTTTAATGCAGATAACAACATCAACAAGTATAAGGCCAGACTGGTTGCTAAGGGATTCACTCAAACTCATGGGATAGACTATCAAGAGACATTTGCCCCTGTTGCCAAGCTTAATACTATCCGAGTTCTTTTATCACTTGCTGCGAATCTTGGTTGGCCCTTGCAACAATTAGATGTAAAGAACCTTGGGATACACCACCCCAAAAGCTAGCTCAAGGGGTGAGAGTGCCCAAAGCCTTATAAACTCCACATTAGTTGCTTATACAACCAATGTGGGATTATATATCTCAACAGCCACCTCTCGTGCGGACTGCACTACCTATGATAAAGCGAGTGGATCTCCAGTAGCCAGATTTGGATCTGATGATGGGTCGACCTTTGTAGCCAGCAGCACCATCAACATGAACATTGCTATCCACAACCAGAGAAACTTGTATCGCAACGTCGTCGCTTTGGGTGGACACCGCCATTAATTAACATGCGTATTCTATTCTCTTTATTAGCTTAGGCACCGCCATTAACCAGGATGATTGAAAGAAGAAACAAAGTAACAAATAGTATTGCGGTTATTTTAAATATATTTTAACCAGAGGATAAGTAGCATTCGAACTCTGGAAACCACAAAAGTCAGAAACAAAACAATTGGGAACATATAAATTTTGGTTATTTTGCACATCCCTACCCTAGAATACATTGCATATGCAAATATTTTCATAATATTTAATGCGATCATATAAATTTTATCTTCCTCTGTTAAATTTAATAAAAGTGTGGCAAATGATTATACTCAAATATGTTCCAAGAAATATTTTTCGAATACATCCTCTTAATCCTGATATTACTAAAGTTGTTGTACGTAACTTCTGTGGTAAAATTACAGAAGGTGGAATTACTCTAGCAAAAACAGAATAAATCAAAAAGTGTCTGAAATATGGCACCTAGAGTAGCTTAACTAGGAAGAAAAAAAAAGATGATTAGTGATGACTCTATGCTTGAATTGTTGTTTTTATAATGATCTTGATCAGATTGCTTTCATTATGTTTGTTTTTATGAGTTTTTTCATTTATTTTTTATTTTTTATTTGTTAAAATTGACTGCAAACGCATCTGTATGGCTGCTTCTACGCTGTCCTTGGTGCCACGGTTGTTTTTGGTCTTATGGCAGTGGCCGCCATACACTATTGGTAACACCCATACATATGTAGTCCGTAAGAGTCAGTCTTGGATTGTGGATGCCCCTTGCCTTGACAAGCCTCATGTCTTTGTCCCAAAATCATATATAATGTTTTCATCTAATTTACCTTTTGGTTTTCTTTTCTTGTATATTTCTCAAGTGATTTGTAGTATACTATAATGTGACTTCTTGTCTCAGTGAACCGGTGGCATGTTGATAGAAATTTGCTGTGTCCAAGTTATTGAAAGTTAATGCTAATTTCTCATTTCGGTGCTTTTGTGAAGTATACGGGTTTCTAAATATCTGACTCACTATTTCTGGTGGAAAGCAGATTGTTAAGGGCATTGATGCAGTAACAAGGGAACAACTGGTAAGAATAATGTCCTTACTAGGAATTCAGAATGCAACCCCTGTTTTCAGTATGGTACCTACTTTCGGACCCTTTAAGCCCGCGGCTCTTATACCCACCATAACTGAAGAGGATGAAGTTATACTGAACAATGTTCAGAAAGTGGTGGAGTTCTTGACTGCAGGAAGTTCGCTATCAAGGATATCTGGTCAGGTAATGACGAATTCACTTCTGAAAAGTCATACTTTATTTGGGTACACTTTTCTTAGCAACAGTTTTTTTCAACAAATAAGTACATGTTTATTTTTTTTTAGCTAAAAGGGTTCATAAACATTTATTGATATATTTATTTTTTGTGGATGGCCATAGGCATTGAATATTCCTCAGGTTATCCAAGAGCTTCTCCCAGTGTTGCCAGGCATCTCTATTAAGGTGCTTCCTGAGGTTATTAACAGATTATCTTCTCGGATATTAGCACGATTAATACGTGATACGTTTTTGTGACAGCATTCTGTGTACGTTACCTGCTTAAGGCCCCACAATTGTGTATATTTGACAGAATATACAAAACCACTATACGAGTATATATAGCTGCGCTGTCTGTAAGACATTCACTTTGCAGAAAAATCCCACGTGGTTGTCATGGATGTTACTCAGTGATATATACAGTGCAAGAAAATTGTCTTATATTAAGTGTATCTGAAAATGCCTTCATGTAAAATAAAAAAGTAGCCTCAAAATAATCATGAATTCTTAAGATCCCCTTTATGTTCTTCCCTTTGCATTCAATTATGAATCATTAGTTTGTTCTTCAAATAATTTATTGTAACATTTTAACCTAAGATTAAAATTTATAGAGATGTAAAGATTTGCGAAATATAATTCTCAAAATTAAAAAAAAAAAACCTTTTTTTAATTATGCTTAGAAAAATATATTTTAGCTTGGGTATAACTTAGAAAAATATGTGTAATGGATAGAGTTTATTATTTTATTTTACTTTTTTAGAACGTTAGCTTGCGAATTTTGATGTTATAGTATGGGTTTGCTTTGTCATGATTAGGAATATTATTATTATGCTCTACTATAATTTAGATCTATTTACTATCTTTTATAAAAATAAAGGGAAGAGAGATTTTGATAGATCAAGACAATAAGAAATTATCAAAATATAATTCTTCAGGAATTCTTTTCTTCTTTTTTGCGTCTTTTGTAACAGCTAAAAATAAAAGTAAAAAATTGTTCGTGATACTGTTCATTGACGCAGAAAGCATTGCAACAGCCAACAGCACCAAATTGGCGTAGAAAGCGCGAAAACATCAAATTGGTGCAGGAATCAGCAAAATGGCGCAAGATGTACATAAAACTAAAAAGCGTATAAAATTTGACACTGTTATTAATAACAGAGTTAAAATTAAAAATAAGTAAATAAAATAAATAATAATAATATATAAAAATAAGAAAATAAATATTAAAATAAAACAGTATATATATATATATATATATATATATATATATATATAGAGAGAGAGAGAGAGAGAGAGAGAGAGAGAGAGAGAGAGAGAGAGAGCATAAATAAATATAACAATAGTTATACATATAAATCACAGAGTAGATAACGATGATATTTAGTTATACATATAAATCACAGAGTAGATAACGATGATATTTAAAATTGTTTAGGTAAGTAATCATTAACTAGATTTTTATTCGACAAAAAGATAATGATGATATTTAAATTTTTTTAGGTAAGTAATCATTAGCTAGATTTTTATTCGAAAAGTAAATATTATGTCATATGAATTATGTATTTTATATATATATATATATATATATATATATATATATATATATATATATATAGGGGAAAGTTAATCTTATGTTATCGAAGACAAGCTTTCATTCCTGCTGATACATCGGTTTGAGTGGTATTTTTTTTTTTTAAATAAATAGCTGGGGCCCATGCTTTGGTGTGTCTATGGAGTAAATCTTTGGTACTACTGTTGTACCAAGATTCAGTGCATCCCATCAATGAGAGCATTACACATCAGAGGAGAGAGAAAAAATTTGACAGAAAAATAAGAATTTTAACTGACATGTAATATTTTCATTGGTGAGATGCACTGAATCTTTGGTACAACAGTAGTACCAAAGATTTATTCGTGTCTATGACTGAAGATAAAATGTCTTCTATTGAACGAGACTATTAAATCCCATATATATATATATATGAGTTTTTGTTTTATCCTTTAACATAGCACAACAAACTTTTCTACACTGACAACATTTTGTGGGGCCCACACTTTTTAAAACAAAAAAATAAATAAAAAATTAAGGCACGCAAAACGAATCTCTATAACATTACACAATCACTTTTCCTACAACATAACTCTTATAAAACCCTATATATATATATATATATATATATAGAGAGAGAGAAATTATACTCTTATATTATATAAAATTCATCTCTCATGTTACACTCAACATAGGATAACTTCTTTTATCTCTCTTTCCTTTCTCTCTTGCTGTTTCCTTCTTTTCTTTTTCTTTTTCCTTTCTCTTTTCTTTTGGTTCTTTTCTTTCTTTCTTCATATGTTTCTTTCTTTCCCTCTTACTCTATTTCTCCTTCTTTATATATATATATATATATATATATATATATATATATATGGGCTTTACTTCTCTCATGTTGTAGGAGAAAAGTTATCCTATGTTGTGAGACAAATTAAGTGGGGCCCACCATTTTAAAAAAAAAAGAAAAAAGAAAAAAAAGTGAAGCACGTCTTTTTATGTGAGTGAAACATGAGAGATGAATCTTATATAACATAAGAGTATAATTTCCCATAAAAAAATAGGGAGGAGAGAGAAATAATGCATAAACAATGAAGAATCCGAAAGAAAGAAAAAGGAAGGAGAAAGAAGAAAAAAAGAAACAGAAGAAGAAGAAAGTGAGAGAAATAAAAGAGGAAGGTAATATTGGATGTAAAACTTCATTCTCTTATGTTTATTTCTTTGATATTTAAAGTTGGTATTTTAGAATTATTTCTTAAAAAGCTGAGAAATTACTCTGACCAAATATTTTCTTATGAATTTTTTTTACTCTTTTGGTTTATTTGCTATCTTTGATTTTGTGGATTTCATTAATTTATTGTTTTACTTCTTTTCAAAGATTGATTATCAGATTAAGGAATTATTTGGTACCAAATAACTACTAAAAGAATATGTAAATTTTAACTAATTGAGACTGCTGTAAACTGTCCCATAAGGGTATCAGACTGTTATAGGGTAAGGGACGCCTTATTGTGGCTTGAGCTCCGCCTAACATAACTTTTCACATGCATGAGACCTATAGAATTGGGCATTTAATTAGCTTCAGTTAAATATTACATGTTCTTTTGTATGCAGAAATCCACAAAGGTTCAGGTATATGTTTGTTGAGAACCTACAAAGGGTTGGGCTTATGATTGTTATTTATATTATTATATTATTATTGTAAATATATTTTGAGAGAATGATATTTTTCGCTAAGACGGTTGGATTAGTTATAGTTCGAAAACCCCAAATTACTGAGATTTTTCTCACGTGTTTATTTATTTTATGTTAACCTTTCCATAAAGTAAGCATGTTAGTATATGTAGCTTTGGAGTAGGATGTGTGGAACCAATGCACTCTGCGAAGAATATAAAAGTTCAACTATTTTGATGATAACAAACAAGCATGAAAAGAAAGCTTCAAAGTGAAACTATAAAAAAGAAGTCTAAAGAAGATCAAGACTCAAGCTTCAAGAGAAGACTCTAAGTCCAAGAAATCTCAAAGTAATAATATATCTTAGGACTTAGGATTGTTTGAAAGGGCAATTGATTCCTTACGTGAACGAAACTCAGTATTTTTTAAATACATGCATTAAATCATCGTTTGACATTTAAATACATTCCTAGTGTAACACCCTGTATATATCCGGTAATGTTATCATACTATCGTATTAAGCAGCGCTTAATTAAAAATGCAGAATATCTTTTTCTTTTCAATTATGATGTTATTATCTTTACCAACTTGCTTATTAATCAATTAATAAAACATCGCCTGTATGTAATTGCAATAAAACAGCTAACTAAATACCTCATAATATAGATAATAAAAGTGTGGCTCTAGAAATCACGGAACTACCACAAGTAGGCCGGACCAACTAGCAGGTTATACAACTCCAATCTAAAAATACTAACATAAAGTGTCATGGACAATCCCCATGCTCACTCAAATAAGGCAACACGCCCAACATCAGTCTCAACAACAACATAATCATAAATAGCGGAAAACATAAACAACATCCAAATCCAGTCATGGCAGCAATACAACATAATATCATAAACAGCTAAGCTCTGGCCTCCTGCCGCCAGAGGCATCAGTCACCATACTACCTGAACCTGAAATAAGCATTCCCCAAACGTGGGGTGAGATCTTTAAACAAGAAATCTTAGTAAGACAAGGGGTCCTCAAGGATCTTCCACCCCAAGCTCACTTACATGTGCAATATAAGTTTAAAAGTAGTTCATCAATATCATTTCTAAAACAGTGCAATGCAGCAGATAATCATGTCATGTGCGTCAATTCTATTCTACTGGCCAGAGAAATGCAGGATTTATATATGCCAAATACCCACACATAGTGCAAGACGCCACTTGCATTCACCCTGGATCACCATATCGTATGACGCCACATACTCAGGCTTACCGTCAAGATGAAACAACACATGCATATTAAAAGCCATCACACATAAAGCTCAACAGCATTTCAAATATTCAAAGCATGTAACACAACATGCATATAACCACACCCCATGGGACATGGTGGAACCACAACATGGCTAAACCGAGGACACAAAAGCTTACCGCAAGCTAACACCCAAAGCAAGAGTCCACAGCTCAAAGTCCAAACACAGCAGATTCACAATCTGTTATGGACCAATACTATATCAATAATAATGCACCACAAGCATATAACTTAAAGACAACGCCTTTCCTTTATGTTTTACGTCTTAAGGCTCCATACCAAGCCATAAGCCCTTAATCACTTGATTCTGACTTAGTTCATTAATTACAGAAGTTCAACTTCATCAAACTAGGGTCCACAAACCCCCAATAGCCTACTGTACACACAGCACAACTACTGTTATTCGAAATCCCAGAATATCCGGATATTCCTCGGGACCATATCCGGATATGCAATATCTGGATATCTCACTGTACATATCCGGATATCCAGATTTCCGTATCCGGATATCCAATATCCGGATATCCAAATCCCATATCCGGATATCATATATCCGGATATTTCTCGGGCAGATATCCGGATATTTCACGACAGAATGAAGAAACTGCATTTTGTGAAGATATCATTCCAAGGTTGGGTTTTTAACATTTAATTACGTTAAAGCATGCATCTTTATATTGATTTAGGGTCATACTACTGTTGGTTACTTGTTTAACTCTTTTAAACATACCAAGACACCTCTTTTACTCATCAAACACATGATCAAGGTTGGTACAACTCACCAAAGCTCAAAACAGAGGATGAAAGGCTCTTGGAGCTCTCAAATCTGCCTCTACAGGTCTGACCTTCAAGGCACACAAAAAAGGTGATCAAGAGTGATCCTTTCACACAAAAGTTCACTCCTTGAAGCTCCCACAACCAACACAAAGCTCCAACCACACCAACACAAGGACTCAGCCTCAAACCTTGACTCAAACCAGCTCCCACAACTCAGAAGATGG